CTCTTGTCCTCCAGAGGGACAGTTCTGAGGTGCACTGGACAGGCTTTTCAGGAGATTCCAGCAGGACTGAGCCCCAGATTCCCACAGTGGAACCACTTCAGCCTCTCCACAATGCCCCCTTTATTTCCTTTTGCTCTTTCCCCATCTTTGTCCCCCCTCCCTCTCTCTACTTCCTCCAACCATCTCCCAGTTGTGCTCTTAGGCCTTGTTCTCCTGGAAAAACAAACCAAGACACTCAGTTTTCCTCACTTGAAAAAGCCGTTTAAATTGGGCTGTAGGGGCGCCTGGGTGGCTCAGTGGGTTAAGCCTCTGCCTTCGGCTCAGGTCATGATCTCAGGGTCCTGGGATCGAGTCCCGCATCGGGCTCTCTGCTGGGCAGGGAAGCCTGCTTCCTCCTCTCTCTCTCTCTCTCTCTCTCTCTCTCTGCCTGCCTCTCTGCCTACTTGTGATCTCTCTGTGTCAAATGAATAAATAAATTCTTTTAAAAAATAAATAAATAAATAAATTGGGCTGTAAAATTTTGCACCTGTCTCCAGGGGCTGTTGAATGATCCCACAAGAACGGACGTGAACAAGCTTTGTAAACTGGGTGGCCAGCCACAGAGGTGAGGCGTCACTGCGAGTGGAGGTATTACTCCCTAGGGAAGGCAGGGACTTGGGGGTTGCTGGTGTGGGAGGTCCAGTCCCCCAGGTCATCTGTGAATGGTGACTGGGGCTGCTGGGGGGGTGATGAACGATGAGGGCAGAGAGGTGAGGGGAGCTGTGAGGGGAGGGGTGTGGACAAATAAGGTGTGCTGTGTCCCCGTCCTGGCTGCCAGACGGAGGTGACTTGGCACAATTACGTGACTCAGCAGGCCACCACCGCCTGGGACAAGGTCCCTCAAGATCGTGTACCCAGCTTTGCTGAGACTCGCCCTTGTGGGATAAGATCTGCCTCCTGATTTGGCTTCTGCCCCAGGAAGAAAGACGGAGTTACCACTGGGAGGGTCCAGGACTCTGGCTCATTCACCTCCACTCAGGAAACCCTGAAACACTGAGCCCTTCTCTGTGGGCCCTGCGGGAAGTATCCGAAAGTGAACAAGCCACTCTCCACGCTCTCGTGGAGGGACTAGATGTGGGACACCAGGCAACAAGCACCTTGAACCGCACTGAAGCAGCTGCTTGCTGAACTCCTCCCAGAGAAACTGGCATCCACCATTAATCCTACGAGGCTTTAGGATGCCACAGGGAGAGAGGAAGGGCATAGCCCGGAAACAGCATGGGGCAAAGTTGCGGGCGGCCTGGCTCATTGCAGAAACTTTTCTGTGGCTGGAGCCCAGAAGGAGGTGGGGGTGGGGATGGCCATTAGAGGAGGCTGGAGAGAGGGGGTGTTCAGAAGAGCAATGGGGGCCCAGAAGTTCAAAGAAGGACAAAAACGGGGGTAGGTTTGAGTTCTGATTCTCCCTGCTGGGTGCAGTGATGGCCAGGTGGGAGAGGGTCTGTGTTAGGGCCAGCTAAGTGTCCTCACTCACTCATTCAACAAACATCTCTAGAGCCCCTTTCAGGTGCCAAGCCCTGATGCCGCTGGTGCGCAGCTCCATGTGAGGGGCTTAGATGGAAAGAAGGGGCAGGCGAATTTAGGAGTTCTCGCTGTATTACACAAACACATCCTGGAGGTTCTCACGCTGGCTTCCTGAACCAGGTGTGTATGAATTTGGAAATTGGGGACCTGTTGCTTCAGGGGTGACAAGCTGTTATTTAGGGCTGAGCTCAAACCTCAGGGGTGCCACAGAAGGGCAGCCAGTCCTGGAGACCCCCCCCAGCCCCGCCCCGCCTCCTTCCCCTCCCTCCCTCCCCTACTCTGCCCCAGGCTCAAGAAAGCATTATCACCAGGGGGCCTGGGAGAAGCTTGACCCACCTCTGCAGTCAGGAGTTGAAACTCTCATCCAGTGTGGAGCTACAGGACTCCTCCAGGATGACACCTGAGGTTGGAGGAAACCACCCTTAAAAGGATTTTACCCCGCCCTGGAAGGAGCCCTCCACCCTTTCCCACATGATAGATAGATGACCAAAACCTGATTGGGGGACAGGCACAGGGAGGGTTCATCAGAGAAAAACAGCCTGCCAACAAACCCATCAAAACCCCTAGACACAGAAACTCCATGACAGCTCCCTTGGGTCCCCTCCCTCCTCGGGAGATGTGCGATCACTTTGCTATTCCCCCATACACCTTGCTTCGCTGCCCAGCCCTCCTTTTGGTCTACCTCTTCATTCTTATGTAGCAGCATGACCAAGGACTGCGGGCACTTAGAGGAGAGGAAATCCTGTAACAGGGTGTCACTGACGTGAGTTATGAATCCGGTGTCAACAAGAGGGTTCCCGTCGGGGTCCTCTCCCCAGACTCCCAACCACCTCGCCTACCTTCCATGCCTGGCAGCTCACGACCAACTGTGACCGTGACTTGAGGTCTCACCACACCCCCACCTACCACGTGGCATGCCCCTCTGCTTCAATCCCTCAACAACTTGGGGCCTCCTCGGCCCCACCTTTTACTAGGAAATCTCCTGACTCATCTTAGCCATGGTCGCCCCAGACCACACCTCCACCCCAATCTAGCATTTGTGCTTCTGTCTGTGGGACGCTGCGCCTGGTAAAGACAGGATCTCTGAGCCTTCATCTCCTTAGCTGACAATGGGGCCCAGTGACCTGTGGCGTGGGGAGGCTCCAAGGCATATTTGTCAAAGGGCTTGGTGAAGCGGTCAAGCGCTAAATAAGGGTAGCGCTTAGTTACCTTGAGGTTGAAAGGTGCTAAAGCAAAACCAGAGAATCTTGGACCTGTTGTGGGGGGAGGTTGTGGGGGTGGGGGGAAGGAAGGCGAGGGAGGGAGGTGGAGAGTTGTTCTGGTAGAGGTAGGGATGGTATCAAGTAGCTCTAAAAAGGTTGGTATGTTAAACACATAGGACCCTTTGTAAACACATCCATGCCTTCGTGAAAATTGAGACTCACTCCTGAAACCACAGAACTTTACATTTTTCCCCAACAGACTCCATCTTTTTAACTAACGTCCTGTCTGGTGCTGTTTAGGCGGCTCTGGAACCATAGAAGAGACCAGTCTCAAACCTTTTAAATGGACACAGGCTCAGCCTGGTCAGTTCTCCTTTCACATTCTTTCTGGTCCCCAGGGCCCATCCCCCCAACTCAAGCCTGGTCCTGTTATTCTCTGGCCCAGATTCCAAGGCAGGAGCCCTTCCAGGGGACATCAGTGGCCACAAGCACAGGCTCGCTTCCCTCCTCCCATGCCGGTGGCTGCGACAGATGCAGGAGCATGGCTGTGTGGGTTTGAATTCAGGCTCACTGTCTACTGAGATCTTGCCCCAGTCACCTCTCCATGCCTTTTCCCCTGGCCTGTAAAATGGGCACGTACACCCACTGCATGGTAAGATCTTTTGCAAGATCGGAGTTCATTTGTGGAGCACGAGCATGAAGCAAACTGCGGACAGTTTACAAGATCCCCATCACTGCCCCAGAGCTCTCCCCTGGCTCCTGACTCCTTCCCAGTTCTAGGCTCCTTTCCGCAAGGCTCTTCCCCATCCACCTTCAGACCTGTTAAATGCCACTTCCTCCAAGAAGCCCTCCCTGACCACCTCATCTTAACTAGCTGGCTCCTTCCCACACCTCCTCACCTCTTTTTTTCCCCTTTCCCTTCTGGACCACCCCAATCCTCACCAGGACCCGCACACTGTCATCCGTTCTTCTCACCCCCAAGCCTCCCAGACTGCCCCCACAGAGCACACACATGCCAGGCTGCCCTGTCCATCTTCAAGGCTTTATTGTAAAAATGTTAAAATAAATTACATTTAACATCATTGCTAGTATGTACATACAGTGTGTGAGTCCAGGATGGCCAGCGACACACCAGCAAGGTCGGGCAAGGAAACTGGGATGAACTCATTAGAACATTCACAGAGAAACAGAAGGCCGCTCCTTCTCACCCAGCTGCCCAGCCAGCACAGCCCTGGGTCACAGGATGAACGCAGGTGGGGTCACACATGCCCATCACCGTCTTCACATGTCGGTGGCAGCGGGAGGGGGTCTGGCCCCACAGTATGTGGGAGGGGGCTGAGAGGCGGAGAGTTTGGGTCAAGGGTGATCCCTCGCCTCCTGGCCAGCGTCAGTCACCCGTGAGGGATGCCTCCCCCCTACCACCACCACTCTGCGTGGGGGCTCTCGACAGCGTGGTGCCGGCTGAGCCCACCAAGAAAGGCCCAGCTGAGCTACGGGTAGGAGGGCAAACAGGTGGCATCCCAATCCTTGGGAGCCTGCTCTTCCCCCCAGCCCTCCCACCCCCGGGCTCTGAAGCCAACAATGGAAGATCAAAACAGCAGTTTATTCAAAACAAAACAAAACAGAACCATACAAGGCAGAGAGGGCTGGCCCCTGGGTGTGCCTGGCAGAGGACCTCTGCTGCCCCACACCAGAAGCAGTCTGTGTGCAGCTTCACATTATCTTCTGCTCCCCGCGTCCCCAGTCTTTTCTTAAACACACAAACGCACGTGCGCACACGAATGACGAACCGTGGCTGCAGGTGGGGAGCGGATTCACATCGTTGGTCCCTCCCGTGTGTAAGTCAAGAGGGACTCGGCCTCCCCCACCATGGGGGCCAGGAGGGCCAGGGAGCCATGAGGTCCTTGTTCTGGGCACAGGGGAGGCTGGGGATGGAAGGAGCCAGAGCCAAACCCAGCCCTGCAGCCCCCCAGCCACCGCTACCCTCCCTTCCCACAGCGTTCCCAGGGAGAGGGAAGGCCTGCATCTGTCACCTCTCAGCCGAAGAGTGAGTCAGGGAACTGGGCTCCGGGTGGCTTGGTCTGGGCAAAACCAGGACTCGGACCCTGGGCCAACTCAGAGCTTGCTGGGGGTCCTGTGCATTCGGAGTGTTTCAGCATCTGCCCGGGGTCTTCCCCTCCCTTCCCCTGGGCGCCTCTTCCCTACTGAGCTTGCAGTAGGGCCTGGTGGGCACACGGGGTGGGGTTGGGGGATGCTTATACGGGCATCTCATGCAGCGCCCTGCTATCTGCTGAGGAGCTGGAACGCTCCCCGCACCACTGCTGTACCTCCTGCAAAGGCAGGACCCAGGGCTCCTAGTGCCCTCCCCCCGCTTCTGACATACTAGCTACGTGCTGGGCACACAGGAGCTCATTAATACTGGTAAACTCAAATGGCCGGGGCTCCGAGCCTAAGAGAACCGTGTGACACGCTCAACCAAACGTCCGAAGACCCGTGCAGCCTGAAGAGTCACCTGCCAGCCCACACCGGTCTCTGAACCACCAAATACACCAGCCTCCCACTGCCAGCGTGCCCATTCAGCCAGGGAGGGGCCCTGCCCTGGGCGCACGCCGAGTCTGACCCGCAGCATCTCGCCGGAGGGGATGGAAGGTGAGGAAAGGCCCTGGCCCCCCACTCCCTGTTCCAGGGCTGCCTCCCACCAGGGGCCAGAGGTCCCAGACGTAGTAGGACGCCCCAGGATGAGGGGAACAGAAGCCATCGGAGGTGGGGTGGGGAGCTGGGCCTGCCTCACGTGCCCCTGGGGCAGTCTGACTGACTGTACTCGTTCATAAGCTGTTCGTAGGGCACAGAGAGCTCCGACTCGGTGCTGGTGAAGGTGGACTCATCGGACGACGGGAACTCGCCCAGGTTCAGGGGCACCTCGGCTTCGGTCGCCTCCTGGGGCCTCTCCTCCCCAGCCAGGTTGTCCTCTATGGAGGACTTGGATGTCTCCTCGTCCGAGAGGCCGGCCTCCTCATTTGCAAAGGTGACGCTGACGTTCTGGAAGATGAGCGGGTGGTAGTCCTGGGCGTCCCACGGCTCACCCTCCTCGCTGATTCGGTCCAGCTGGTTAATGAAGACCTCGGAGGTCGGGGAGCCCTCCTTGGGGGGTCCTGCCCCGGCCTCCTCGCTGGGGGGCCGCAACACATGGCCTTTACTCCTTAGCGTCTGAGACACCTCTTCCAAGCTGGGCACCCGGTTCTTGGAGTAAACCACCAGGGGGGACAGGGAAGTGGGGAGGGCTGGAAGCCCACCACCCTGGGGCCCCAGCCCCGGCGCTGGGACCCTCTCTCCAGCCCCGCTCGTCTTCATTGCCTTCTTCCCAATCTGCTTGATGAGGTCATTGTAGGTCTCCTCCTTCTTGGACAGAAAACCGAAGATGTTGATGTCCTTGGACGCCGTACTCCCAGTCACTTGCAGAGCCTTTCTGGAGTGTGGGGAGCTCTCAAAAGACTCCTTCCGTCGCCGCCGCCGCTTCTTGATGGCCTTGTGGACCTCCACGAACATGCTCACCTTCCAGTTGACAAAAAGGGACAGCCAGGCCAGCCCCAGGTAGATCCAGAGCTCCACAAAGTAGCGGTACAGGGCGTGGTAGTTGGCGCTGGGGTTCACACCTGCAGACAGAACAGGAAGCCCCAAGGGTCAGAAGTGGGTCAGCAGGGACCTGAACACATGTCAAGGCCACAGCTGTGTTCTCTGAGAGCAGGCACAGTGTCAGAACACAGTGTCAGAAACCAGACTGTTCTACCATCCTGATGATTCATGTCCCTATCTTAGTCTCCAACCTGCCTGAGCCTCCGTGTCCTCAACTGTCAGAAGTCAGGAGAGTGGTTCTCCAGGATAAGGTAGGCTCCAGGTCCCAGGTGAGGGGGAACCGGTTAATGTAGCCACCATATGTGTCAGGAAATAGTTCATGAATGTTTGCCTTTCGATTATCCACTGTACCACATCTAGGTGTTTTGTGCACTTTTGGGGACGTATATGTTATACTTAGTTAAAACCAGGATGGAAACTAAGTGAGCACGTGGCCAGCATATTCACAGCGGGCAATGGACTCACTGGTTTAACATGAATGGGGCTGGTGGGTGGGCCAAGAGGGCTGTATGCACCCGTCTCAGCACAAACTGTTCTGGAAAGACGTGATTCTCCTTCAGCGGGGTCTGGCTGCTCCCTGACTTCCTGTCTCTGCCTTCTTCAGACTGGCCCTTCCTGTGCTCTAGAGGGCTCTGCCACCCCACATCCTCCTCCTCTGAGCCCAGGCTCCTGACACCTGCTCCAGGGAGTCCTCCGGGGTCAGCCTGTACAGCTCTGACTGATCTCCTACACTCCGGCATTATGAGGTTTCCAGCTTAACTTCATTGTTTCTGGAACCACTGACCTGCATTAGTATATGCAGTATATGACCTGCCCCCACCACCTTCCAACTGGGAGCAGTCTGTAAAAGGGACGAGGGGAAGGGGGCTTCCTGCAGAGTGGGGCTCCCGCAGGGCAGGGTCTATACAACCCTCATCAAATTAGAGATCACTGAGGACAGGGGCTGTGTTTGCCCCTGGAGACAAGCGGTGTCTCTGAGGGACGCTCGGGGCTCTTGGTCACAAGTAGGCTGAGATGACGAGGAGGGCGCATGCTAACACAGCTGGGTCTTATCCTCAGCACTCATTTGATCTTTGACCACCCTGTTAGGTAGGTGCTGTTCTTTTTTTTCCCTAAAGATTTTATTTATTTATTTGACAGAGAGAGATCACAAGTAGGCAGAGAGGCAGGCAGAGACAGAGAGGGGGAAGCAGGCTCTTTGCCGAGCAGAGAGCCCTATGTGGGGCTCGATCCCAGGACCCTGGGATCATGACCCGAGCCTAAGGCAAAGGTTTAACCCGCTGAGCCACCCAGGTGCCCCGGTGCTGTTCTTTTTAAACCAATCTTAAAGATGAGGAAACTGAGGAAAGGGCCTAAGGTTTTGCTGGAGCTGAGAAAGTATGGGTAAATACACTTCCCTAGGACAAAGGCTTCTCCCTGCCCACTCGGGGTCCCTTAGACAATGGCAGGGCTGTGCTTCCGTCTAAATTTATCTCCCAAGACAGCAGGCCCTGAGCTGCCGAGGTCAGGAGGGAGTCTGGGCCTCTTTCCTGTCCCCCCTCACCACCACCACCCAACCATCTCTCCCAGCGTTTGGAGTCTCCCCTTACAATGAGGCAGAGGGGTAGTGACCTGCTCCTGCCCCCTAGGAAGGGGGAGGGTGGAGACCAGAGGCCCCTGGAGCAAAGGCTGGGGTCGGCTGAGCAGGGCAGCAGGCATTGAGGGAACAAACACGGGGTCAGTGCAGCCAAACAGGGGTCGAGAAGATGAAGGGCCAAGACTCGGTGCTGGCCAGAGGCACAGGTCTTAGAGGCTGTGGCCAAAGAATTTTATCACCTGCCTGGATTAAGTAGGGGAGGAGCGGGAAGGACTGTCCCGGCCCCAGAGGGTGGGGCAGCTTAGGAGAAGGCCTCTCTTGTTTCTAAACTGCCTGTGGCAAGAGCAAAGTTTCGGGCCTGTCGGCCAAGCCTCTACACCAGCTCCCTCCGCTCCTGTGATGGGAAACAAGGCAGGCAGCTCTGGGACAGGAAGGGGACTCCCCCCCCCGCTTGGCTCCGGGGCTTTGTGGGTAACAGGCTCCAACTCTGCAGAGGGGGAAGAACCTACCTCCTGCCCCGAGTGAACCTACGCCTAAGAGCAGGGGAAACAGAGGGAGAGGAAGCAGGAAAAGCTGTGGCCCAAGAAAGAAAGGGAAACAGAAGAGGACCCCTTTTGGGGTAGGGGTTGCTGCCCAGGATGCTGAGCACCTGCTGGGGCCCCAAAAATGGTCCCCTTAATTGCACATGGAGAAGCAGAGGTCTGGGGGGAAGGGCAGGACTCACCAGCCACAAAGTCTCCGAAGCCGATGGTAGAGATGGTGATGAAGGAGTAGTAGAGGCCCTCGATGTAGTCCCACTCCTCCGTCACCATGAACACGAAGGGCGGGATCACCAGGTGGACCAGGACGCCCCATACAATGAAGATGGCTGTACACGTGATCTGCGCCTGTCGCTGATGGGTGGGGGTGGGGGGTGGGGGCAGGGAGACCGAGTCAGACCCATGGCAGAGACTGGGGAAAATCAGCAAGGGCACCCAAAGGGCCGGCGAGGCAGCCAGGCAGGAGGCCAGCTGGTACCACACCTGGGAGGAGGCTTGTCACCCAGGAAAGGGTGAGGAGCACTATTCCCAGCCTCAACCAGGGGCCGGGGGTCCCCGAAACTGCCCTCTTGTCTCCTGCTCTAGCACCTCTGTCCATTGTTAGATCTTTCCCCTCCTCCCACCCCCTGCCAGGGTCCCCCCAGTGCTGCGCAGTATCCAAGGTTTGGGGACATACCAGGCTCACGCCTCTCTTCGTGAGGAACTGGCCCAGCCTCTTGGCACGTCCCCCGAAGAATTTTCCCAGGGCACTGATCCACGTCAGGCAGAGTGGCACTCCAAAGAGACCATAGAAGACACAGAAGAGGCGCCCGGCAGGGGTCTTGGGGGCCACATTGCCATAGCCTGAGGAAGAAAAAGAGAGTGAGGCATGGAGAGCTGCAGCGGGGGTGACAGACCCAGACTCAGCACGGCCCTGGGCTCGGCTACACGGCCAAACCTACACCCACATCCACACAGCCCCATCCTTTAAGATCACTTGATACTGATCTAATATCAGTCCTTCAGAAATGAAATTTTACTTTATTACACAATGGTCATGATTGTTTATAAAGCAAGTAGGGTGGCATGGGCCATGTCTCCTCCATCAGACTGGGGGCTCTTTGCTGGACAAAGCCTTCATCATCAGCAAGCCTTCCACTAGTCCATACAGCACCACGGTGCAAATTATAAACAGCCTTCTCTGGGGAGACACCACACAGGCACCACGGGAGGTGGTCTCTAAAGACAGCCATTCTTTTTTTTTTTAAGATTTTATTTATTTATTTGACAGACAAAGATCACAAGTAGGCAGAGAAGCAGGCAGAGAGAGGAAGAAGCAGGCTCCCCGTTGAGCAGAGAGCCTGATGCGGAGCTCGATGCCAGAACCCTGGGATCATGACCTGAGACAAAGGCAGAGGCTTTAACCCACTGAGCCACCCAGGCGCCCCTATAGACGGCCATTCTTAACCCCTTCCCCTCCTGTGTAAGCATGCCACTGCTCGCATCAGGCTGGTGTCTAATCCCCAACCTTGGAAGCTGGGCTTCAGGGGCTGGCTTGGCCAGCGGATGCAGCACAAGTAGTACCAGATAGGTTAAGCCTGAGAAGCCCTGTTGCTTCTCCCCCGGCTGGCTGGAAGTGCTCACTTCGGGGATTCTCCCCCTTGGAATCCAGTTGCCGCGCTGCGAGCTACCCAAGTCATGGCGTTTTCACCCCTAGCCATGTTCTCAGCCAACAGCCACAGTTCGCTGTCCAACGTGTGATGGCAGAAGCAGTCCTAGATGCCTAGCCAGTAGTGCTTTTGGCTGACTCCAGCCTCAGACACAGGACTGCCACCGCCATTACTGATCTCCAGCAAGAACCAATCGGCTGAACCCAGTCAACCCTCAGAATAGCAAAAGATAATAGTAAGTTGTGTTTTAAGCCACTGAGTTCTGGGGTGGTTGGTCATGCAGCCATAGATAACCAGAAGAGACACCCAGCCTGGTGAGCAAGCATGGGCTGGGTTGGTGCAGAGCACAACCTGTTCAACCTCCTGCATGGCTCGGGCTATCAGGCTTAGTCGTTTCTGCTCCAAGAGCCCAGGTGAGGACTCCTAGAGAAATCTCCCAAGCAAAGCCAATCACCAAGGGCTTACTAAATCCCCAGGAAAATGCTCAAAGAACACAATGCAACAGAAGGGCATAGGACCAGAGCTGGATTCTTATAAAGTTCCGTGGATGGGGGGCATGGACGTGGGTATCCTGAAGGTCCCAAAAGACTTACCAATGGTAGTGATGACCGTGGCTGCAAAAATCATTGCATTGGGCCAGTTCCAGTTGTTGAAGGTCTGATTCCCCGTAATGGCCACACCCTGTCCTGCAGCATCAGATACTACCTAGAACGAGAGACACAAAGTGATGAAGATGATTTCTTCTAAGTGACAGCAGCGGGTGCAACTCCATATGAACATTCTTATTGAATCATCACAATAACAAGGTGGGAGTTACTGTCTCCAATTTATATATGATGAAACAGTTTACAGAGGATCAGAGAGGTTAAGTGATTTGCCTAAGACCACACAGCGGGTAAGAATGCAAACTCAGGCACTCTGTCTCTGAAGTCCGTTCTCTTACTGACCCAGTACTTCTGGAACTTACTAGCATGTACCAGCATCACCTGGTGAGCTTGTTAAATAGACTGTGGGGCCCACCTCCAGAGTTTAATTCAGCAGGTCTGGGAAGGGGCCAGAGAATGTGCATGTCTAAGAAGTTTCCAGGTGATGCTGCTGCTACTGGGCCAGAGCCCACACTGTGTTAGACTATTCTGCCTCAAGGAAGGCATATGTGATTCAGAAACACAGGACACCTATGCCCTACCCAGTCCTCCACAGAGGAGTCTCCTACTGCGGGACAGACCTGGGAGGGACCAGCATCCACTCCTCGTCCCAGCTCAGCACCTCCTGGATCTGTTGTCTGAAGGGGTACATATCGCATCTATTGGCTTCCTTCTCCCCATGCTTGGGACTCTATCCTCCTCCCCTACAAGCTCCCGCTTCTCTCTCTTCTCTGGGTCCATCTCTCTGCACTGGGCCAGGCAACTTCAAGGTCTAGGCCAGGAGAGATCACCAGAGATGGTGTGTACATTTCAGGGTGACTCAAAATCAAGTGATCAGTCCCCACGGGGCTCCCAGCAACTGTGGGCAGCAGGTGACACAGGCCACCTGGGGAGGACACTGGTAGCCCTAGAAGAAGACTGATCTATTCCAGGAACTTTAATAGTTGCCAAACCTGCTTCAACCTGTCGAGAACTGGCTCTACCCTCCACATCCTTCACCCCAACCTGCAGATGGCAGGGCATGGACCCCAGCAGAAGGCGCACAAGCAGGGTCCAGGGTATAAGCCAGGAGTTCCAGGGTGGCCCTGAGGAGGGGGACCCCAATCCAGAGACCAGGAAACTCAGCCAAATTCTCTGTACAACTCGAGCCTGGGTCTGAGGGAAGACAGAAGGGCAAGGGATGGAAGCCAGAGGGAGACGGAGAGCCTACAGTTCTAACCCTCCGTGGCCTGAATGAAGTCTGGTGGGAAACAAGGGAGGGGCTAGGCTGGTTCTGAAGGAACCAGCAGTTTGCAGCTGCGACAGCAGGCCCCGTGTTAACGGCTGCAGATTCCATAAAGAATTTTCCATGATGACATGCTCATCTGACAGGCCATCAAACCACACCACCCGCTGCCCTGCCTCCTCACCGCCTTTCCAGAACATCTCTCTGCAGGTCAGGAGGGGCGGAGGGCTGCCCTCCCCTCAGAGAGCTGGCCATCTAGCTGGCTGGGCCACTTCCATGAGAGAGCACCAGCACATCTAGATCCCAAGGGGCCTCCTGGTCCATCGGAAAGGTTTTCCAAAAGATTAAACCCATGTCTGAAGCAGGAGAACGAGGAGTGGGGTCCTGTGTCTTAGTGTTAAACAGGCAGCGGCTCCCTCTGGCCCTTTGTCCTCTCGGAGGCCTGTTGTGCAGAGAGAGGGTAGAAGGCAAAGCCGGGAAGCTCAGCCTGACGGACGAAGAGACATTGAAAGGGAAGCCGCCCCACTGAGCAGAGGGCAATGCATTTAGGGCACCAAGGCTGGTCATCCCCATGGAGTCTCAGGAACATGAGCGTTGTCCCTCTTCCCACACAGACGAGAGGGGTGGATTCCAGAAACTCAAACCAGAGTCCTCACCGATGTCTAAATGGGAACATGAGAATGTTTGGCACATTTGGAGGAGGAACCGGCGGGCACTAGGAGCGAGCACAGGTCTGTCAAGAACCAGTCATGCTCAACTAAGTGCATCTCCCGCTCCACAGGGGCTGCGAGCCCTTGAAGTTGGGTGGAATGCGGTAAATCTCGATTTCAGCAACAGATGGGCTGGCAGAGATTTCATGTGGACAAGACAGAGAAATGCAGGGCGGAGCTGGGATTAATTTGGGCCCCTTTACAGGCAGATAAACAACCAAGAAGTATTGATCGTTATCAATCTGACCGGAGGTCTCCGCCATCACGCGAAAGGCCTGGCCCCTTCCGTATTTTAGTCAACGACACAGCAAAGACGTACGGAGAGGGCTGCCCGGTCCCATCGGCAGAGGAGGCAAAGCGGTGGGCAAGGCCGGGATGGGGAGAGGGCCATGCTCATCTCATCATTGCAGGGCAAGGGCAGTGTGAACTCAAAATCCCCTCCCCAGGGGGAAGACGGATCCATACTAATGAGACAGGATTATCTTTGACTATTTTCATGTCATCCGCTTTGGGTTCCAAAAGGACCAGACCAGGATCGAGGGGAGAAGGCCTTGGGTTTCAAGAGACCACAAACTAGCAAACACTAGGAAAGTCAATAAAATCCCCGGCAGTGTCAATACCTCACGTCTTCAGGGCTGGGCCACACTCGGGGAGCTCTGCCCCACCCTGGGTGTCGGACCTCCCATTGTCTGCTAACCGAGAGGGAACCGGGGTGGCATTCTGGATAAGGAGCTACCTGAGAACCCAGGGCTCCTGGCAGCGCATCACTCCCGAGAACAGAACGTGTTTACAGCAAGGCCAACCAGGGCACCACAGGGCTGCTGAAGGGGTGACAGGAACCCCGGGGAGCCCAGCTAGGGGACAGCGCCCTCCGGGAGTGTCAGCAGGTGCTGAGTGGGGAGCAGTGGCTGTGTGAGACGCTGTGGCAGGTCCCAGGGAGGCACTGTGAGGAGGCGAAATCCCTGTCCTCCCACCTGTCTATGCCAGGTCATGGGGCTTGAAGCCCCACGACACAGAGGGACAGCCCAACCCACGCTGCCCAAAGGCTGTCCATGACTTGGGAATCAGTAAGTGCTAAGGAGACACCGAACAGAAGAGGGGCAAAACAGGGTAACCCAAGATGGCACTACGGTTGGGAGCTCTGAGGCAGACAGGCTGGGTTTCCTGCCTTTCCCCCACCAATGCTATGCCCTTTGGGGCACAGCCTGCCACCTCAGCCTCCGGCTCTGGGTTCTCAGGGGGCCACAGTCCCAGGCACTCTCCCCACGACCCCTGTTATCTCTCCATGGTCATCTAGAGAGGGGCACCCGGATGGGTCCCTGTGTCTGCAGGGCTGGAAGCACCACCAGCCCTTAGAACAGTCCCACTGGTCAGGTCACAAAACAGGCTGAGAGAGGTTAAGTGGCAGAACTGGGCTAGTTTCTGGGCTATCTGGCTGTCAGCCAATGGGGCTCCCCCCACCTCCCTTCACGGCTCTAACTGCCCCCTGGGCACACCAGCACCGCCCTGCTGTTGCCTCCTCTCTGCCCATGGGCACCAAGCAGCTGGCCTAGGAGTCAGCTTGGCTCCATCCCAGTGCTGGGTGTGAAGTAGGATTTCTGCGCTGCTGAATGGCGGACACCCCTTGCTGGGTGTCTATACACACATCACCTACCCTGCCAGGCGTCATTCGACAGGGGAGGAAAGAGAGGCCTGGGGGATGGGGGTGGAAGTCCCAATGTGGACTTGGGGGCCTGTTCCCTGTTCCCACTGTGTGTGGCTGCAGCTCTGGCAGGGACAACTCAATGGTTAGGCTCACGGTCACAGAGGATACAAAGGGGAGGCCTCCCAGAACAAAGGGCCTGGCCCAGGACTGAGGTCATTCGTAGGTTACAGAGAGTGGCATGGGGGAGCCAGGCCGACACCCCGTTAGACACGGAGACCTGTTCCCAGGGTTAGGGAAATAGCTCTCGCAGGAGGAGGTGGCCCCTGTTCACTCACAGGGTTCTTTAACTTGGCTCCCAGATTCACACAAGACAATATTTTCATTTTCCACAGAACCTAGGAGAGTGATGGGAGAAGGGGATACTGCACACAGCCTGGGCTCAGCTCTTGTTTGGGGAAGGAACAGAGCTCCTGCCTGAGTCGCCCTCCTGACCAAGTAGCTGTGATTTATTGAGGGCTTTCTATGCACCAAGTGTTGTGCTAACACTTTACTGCCTTTAGCTCATTTAATGAGGACAGAATCCTGCTGGGAAGATACCGTAATTTTTTCCATTTTGCAAATGAAAATTTAAGGCTTGGAGAGGTTAAGTAAGTAGCCTAAGGTCAGAGTGCTCCAAGCGAAGCCTGGAGAGCCCTGACTAGACACGGTTATCCTGCCCCCCCCTCCCCTGCCCACAAAGGCTGCAGGAAGGAGGCCAGTGCATACTTCCACCCCTTCGCACCAGCTGAAAAAACAGTGCCCTAAAACCAGTCCATCCACTCTGACCCGAGCTCAGCATTTCCAGCCAGGCCTCCAGGGAGCTGCATGCCCTTGCCTTGGCTTCAGGCAACCGGCTGCCCTGACCCCACCCACTGTCCACGGAATACGGGTTCCCGGACATCTCCGCATGCCCAGGGGATCCAGGGTTTCCCGGGCAGAGGCAGCTCCCAGGCCTCCCCTTCCTGGAGAGTGGGTCGTCCCGGGGCTTGGGACACGAGGCCTACCTTCAGCCCTGGGCTGGTGGGGCTGAGGTGGGGCCTCTCCTCTCATCTACGCTGGGTGGGCAGGGACGGGGCACTGCAGTCCAGGGGACAGGTGGGCTGTCGAAGGCAGCTAGGAGGCACCCAGGGGGCTATGCCCCCCCCGGCCTCCAGCTCCCAGGCAGACATGAGGTCTGGACCACAGAGCACTTTTCTGCTATGCAGATGCAGCTGTAAGCAGCCTCCTGCATACCGGCCCCCTGGACCCACAGGCTGTGGGGGCCCTTACCTACCCCTGGCTGCATTTCACCCTGAGTTGTTCCATCTAAATCACTTGGTGCCTCTGGCCTGGAAGGTGAAATAAGGCCACTGGCCACATACTGACAAGGGGCTTGGCAAGAGAGAACAGGACTTTTATCATTCTTCTGGCCTGGTCCTCCCAGCTCCCCCTTTTGAGGGGGG